GGGCAGGTGGGTGAGGGGGCAGGTGAGGGATGGGTGAGGGGGCAGGTGAGGGATGGGTGAGCAAGAGGCTGAGGGGGCAGGTGAGCAGGTGAGTGGGCAGGTGGGTGAGGGGGCAGGCGAGGGGTGGGTGAAGGGGCTGTGAGGGGGCAGGCAGGTAAGCAGGTGGGTGAGCAGGTAGGTGAGCAGGTGGGTGAGGGGTGGCGCTGCAGAAGTGGCGTTTCCCCCGGAGCTGGGTCCCACAGTCTCAGCAAGTCCCCATAACTTCTGCCCGCACAGGCCTCAGTTTCCGGGATGGCAGGTGCCACCCCACCCCGGCTCCTCACACGGACAGGGGAGGGGAAGGAGTAGCTGGCGGTTTCCAGGGCAACACCTGGCAACACATCCGTGGAAACACAAAGGGAGCAGAGAACAGGCAGCCGGGCTGTTCCTGAGGTCAAGGAGAGGAGGGCGCTGGTAGACGCTCCTGGGAGGAAGCACCCTTGCTCTGTCCTGGGCCGAGGGCCAGGGGTAGAGGGGACCCCCTGCAGCAGGAGGCCCTGCCCCCCAGGAAGGCCAGTGCTGCCTGCAGAAGGCCTCCCGGTGCAGAAAGGCTGGGCGCAGGCTCGCCCTGGGCCTCTGAGAGCAGCGTTCTGGGCCCCCGCTGCGGGGGGGACCGGCCCAGAGTGCCCCCGGGGGGCGGGGGGCTAGGTCTGCTTTCCCACAGTCACCTCTCCGAGGCGCACCAGGTCCTGGTGCCAGGTCAGGGGAGGGCGTGGCTGGTTCCTTCCTTCCCGTCCCACCCTTCCCAACCACAGCTTCAAGGAAATGGAGAGGCACAGTCCTCACCCATGGCTGCTGCCTGAGAGGGGCAGGGCCTGCACAGCGGGCAGGCAGCGTCGGGTTGGGGTTCCGATAAGTGTGACCCATCCAGCCCCATGGAGCCTCTGCCACGGCCCTGGAGGGGTCTGGCGAAGGCAGCCAGTCCTCCCCCAGCAAGCCCTCCTGTCCTGACCTCGCTGCCTCACCCTGCGCCCCCCCCCCCCGCCCCCGTGGCCACTCTCTGGCCCTCCTGGGCATCTGACCTCCAGACCCCAGGAGGATCTAAAACTCCTTTGGTGCAGGCAGCTGAGTCCATGACCTCAGCGCCAGTGGACTTACTCAGGACAGGAACTGGGCTGGGGAGGGGAGGGCCAGGGGCCGCGTGGGCCCAGGCCTGGACCTTGTAGCAACACAGAGGAAGGAATGCACAGCTTGGTAGGCAGGACGGCCCTGCTCTACCAGCCTCGGGCAGGCTGTCCCCTGCGGGGTGGACACTGCCTCTACAGAATCCTGCCCTGCAGGAGAGCTCTCTGCTGCCATCCACGCAGCCGTGTGATGTAGGTGCTCACTCCTTCCTGCTCTGAGAACTGCCCCTGACGCCAACCTCCTGCAAGGTTACAGTGTGACCCACCAGACAAGCCGACTGAGCACCATCTCTGCTCCTCATGCTGGTGTGCCAGCATGCAGAAGTGAGTCAAGACACGGGTCCCCTCAGCATTGTGGCTGGTGGAAAGGGGCCCAGAGAGGCCTGAACCCCCACGTTGGGCCCCTCTGTGACTTCAACGAGGGGGAAAATTTGATTTTCTGGGTCTGCCCTTGTGAGAAGAGGCTGGGGTGCTGACTGGGATCAGCGGTTCATGACTTTGCCCAGTCCCAGAAGTCACCAAGAAAAGTTCTAAAAAAGCAAACTCGCAGACCCAAAAGACTCCAGTCTTTGCCCAGTTTTCAGAACCAGGCCCTGCATTTTGAACTGTTATCAGCATGCCCTGGAGACTGATCTGGAACCTCCAAGGAGCCCCGTGCTCCTGAACAGGCCTCTGTCCTCCAGATGAAGCAAGGGGGCAGAGCCCAGCCTGGCAGCCCCCTGCCGTCTGCCGGGGAGACAAGACTGTGCCCACAAAGAGGGGCCCGGCAGCCTCTGTCCCTCAAAGCCCACTCCGACTCAGCTGCCCCACAAGCCTCATGTCTGACACTGGCTTCTCTTCAGAAATACACCAAGTTCAGGTCTTGGAAAACTTGATTTCTACTGCCTTTCAGGGTAGCAAGACAGCAAGAAAGGACCTCCAAGATCGGGCCAAACAGGCCTGCATTTCCCACCTAGGTTCAGAGGCTGGCCCTCACAGAGACGTGGCTAAAGACAAAAGCAGAGTTCATGGGGGGTGTGCCTGGGGGGTCCTCTCAAATGGGAACCCCTGAATTTACTTATTGGACAGGTATCTACGGAGTGTCTACCATGTGCCAGGCACAGGCACTAGGGATAAAGCAGGGAACTAAATAAACAAAAATCCCTGCCTCCCTGCAGCTGATTTTCAGTTGGGGGAGACACCCAAGATGAGAAAATTAGAAAAGATTTCCAAAGAATGGTCAGGGAAGGCCTCATCACCTCAGTAAGGTGATGCTTAAGCAGAGACTAGAGAAGGTAAAAGAGCCATATGGATACATTCCAAAAAAGGGCGGGTGCAAAGGTCCTGGGGCACACACATGCCTGGTGTGGTCTAGGACAGTGAGGAGCCCAAGTGGCTGGGGTAGAGGACACAAGAGGGAGATGGCAGAGGAGGAGATCAGCAAGGAGCTGGCACTCAGATGACATGGGTATCTGAGCTCAGGGTCCAGTGAGATCGGAGGACACTGAAGGCTGGGAGCAGAGCTGGGGCCTGACATGACTAATTTATGCAAAGGTGATGTGGTCAGCTGTGTAAGGGTCATCTGAGGCCTCCGAGTAGCCGATTCCAGCAAACAAGCAATGCATGAGCAAAATGGGATGTCCACACTGCAAGGGCTGGAGAGTCAGAACATGTCCATAAAATAACAGTGGCGGTTGCCTTTTCTACTGCAAAAGAAAGACCAAGCGCCTTGTGCATTTAAGTGCCGTTACTGGGGTGCTTCCCAAGTCTCCGGCGGCCTGCTGTCTGGCACCCAGGCCATGGCCAATTGCAGCTTTAATCCATGGTATTTAGAAAATGCTTATTGGACGCCTCCTAAGACACTGGTGGCATAGCACTGATGCTTCTCACCCGCTTTCCCCTGCCCTCATGGACCCAGGTCTCTGCCCTAAAAACCTAGGCTTGGTTCTACAGAACTCAGCACCCCCAGAACTCACCAGGCATGGAAAAGGGGGACAGGAAAGCAGCTTCCACTGACTCTGGCTCTGGGGCAGGTGGCTGTGGGGGCGGCTGTTGCTCCTGCTCCTGCTGAGGGACTTCGGGATTTTCCACGGGAACATTCCCATTCTCAATGTTTTCGTGTCTGCCGTTTTGAAGTGGCTTGCTGGTCACCCCATTCGCTGAGTTGATCAGTCTCTGCCGCTGTGTGGACAGGAGGCAAAATAAGACACGTGACAAAGCATCACACTATTGTTCTGTTCCACGCAGCTCTCTCTCTCTCTCTCTCGCTCTCTTTTTTTTTGAAAGATTTATTTATTTATGCATACAAGAATTAAGGTACTGACCAGAGGTGCTTGATGGATGGGGTGAGAGACCTCACCAGAGACAGAGTGGGGAACAGAGCAGGCAGATCGACTGAAATACATGCTGAGGGGAGCAGCAGGTGGGTCAGGAGAGATCTGCGCGCCATGTGGGTCAGCTCCCTGGCCAGGATCGAACTCATGTGCAGTGGCTCCAGAGAGCTTCTCAGGGCTGTGCTTTAACCCGCTGCAGCAGCAGGGAGGGCCCATGCAGCTCTCTAAGGTTTCTAGAGCACCACCCCTGGAGATGGCATTGCCTGAGAAGTAGCACAGGGACCTCGGACTCCATGTAAGTTTGCTCATTTTCATCTGCAATGACACCAGAGCCTTTGGGACTCAATCAGAACCCTGGGCCACCCCTTTCTGGTGCCAATCTGACACCCCAGCCCATGACACTGGTGACAGCAGTCATTCCAGCCCCCTACGGGATGTTAATAAGCCATCTGAAGACAGCCATGGGAAAGGCTGCATGACTATTTTTTTTTTAGTTATATCATGCAAAAATTATTAACAATGCACTTAAAAATTAATGATGTTTTGCATCAAGATGTAGAACATTTCTAGCCCTTCAGGAGATTCAGGCATTTTCCCTGGATGATGAGTCCCTCTCTAGCAGGACTTATAATTCTACTTTTATAAATATCAATTAGTTTTTCCTGAACATGAACGTCCTATAGATGGGTTTAACTGGTATATGTCATTATATGTTTTTCTTTTCTTATTCAATTGAAAATCCATGAGATTCATCAATGCAGCTGCCTAAAGTAATTTTTCATGACTATATAGTATTCTATTATGTGAACAAGCCACACTGTCCCCTTTGCCTATTGGTAGGCATTTGTCTTATTTCCTCTTTTTAGTTATTATGAAGAATGGAGCTATATACATTTGTGCACGTGTCTTTTTATGGATAAATTCATTCATGTTTCTTGGGTATTTGTCTAGGAATGAAATTGCTAGGTCATATTAAAGCATTTTATAGTCACAACAGCAACAGATTAGAATTTCAGTTGCTTTGCATCCTTGTCAACACTTGATAGTGTTAGTCCTTTTAATTTTAGTCATTCTGGTGGGGACCTTGTCGTATCTTATCCTGGTTTTTAACTTGCATTTCCTTGTCAACTCTTGTTGATTATATTGGATTATCGTCCATTTGAGTAGCCTCTGCTGTCTTTAGCTTTCACCATCATGTGTTCTGAACCAGTGGGTTCCCTTCCCTCCCCTGTCTCACTGACCAGGCCTATTTCTTTCCATCCAAGCAGAAGCTGATCTTTGTCCCCAAGCCTGTGGGTCTTTCCTAAGCTGGGAAATGAAGAGCCACATTTTAAGATATCAACAGGTTTCTTCTCTCCTGAGAATGTTTGCCTTTGCATAGTTCATTTTTACCTAGTTCTCATTAAAAATATTTGTGGATCAGCTTTAGGCTGGTGGGCAATGACTGTCACACAGTGACACATAAATTCTCCCCAATTACTTCAATAGGCGACCAAGAACCAGGAAGCATGTCCCCAGTGCCCAGCAATCGTCTACGACAACATGCCAACACCCTTCCTTGTGGGGATTAGAAGTAAAATCAAAAAGTCATTCTTAGAATGGAAGCATGTTATTTCTCTAACAGAAAGGGGAACTGGCCATTTAACTCCGTGTCTGTCTTCAAATCAGTTTGAGACAGGGACTCCTAAATCATGAAGGTTGGGAGGAAGGGTGGAAATTTCAAATTTTTTTCTCACCAAGATGTCTATAACATACTTCAACGCAACATAAAAGAACAAAGTGATCTATAGCCGAGACTCATTGCTGTAATATTTTGCCACCCAATGAGGGTTAAAGGACAGCTCGCCCTTGCAGTAAAAAGAAACAAGCAAAGTATCTGTGCAAAGAAAGAATTGCAAGGGGTGGGGCAGGCATGACTCCCTGCACCAGGAAAGGTAGCAGTGGAAGGACACCCCAACCAGCTAGCTCTGTAGGAACCCACAGAAAATTGTGCCTGGAAATAATATTTACATCGATGTGAGGTTGTATTAAAAGAGGCATAGATTATAACACAAAGGAGGTGATGGATCCACATATCAAGAGAGACAAACTAGGTTTGCATAGGAGAAGAACTAGATGGTGAGGACCCTGTCACCTCAGGGACTGTGGGGATTTCCAAGGATGTTTAGATTCAAGGAAAAAATCTGGGGTGAAGGGCCACTAGGACTACTACATGAACGAGGCAGTAAGAAACAACTTAATAAGCAGGGACTGGATATTATAGAGGAAAGAAAGATAGACATGGGCCTGGGCCAGTGGACTAGACCAAGCCCCAAGAATTTATGCAGCTCCCAGCCCTTTCATAGGCCAGACTCAGACTTGGGTGGGAATAACTGTTATGCCCTATTGATTGTGTGGCTTTGAGCAAATAACCTCGCCTCCCTGATAAATGTAAAATGCCATCATGTGACTCCGTGGATCATTAAGAGGATTAATGCTATTACAAGGGTGAACATCCAGGGCCCTCCCAGCACTCAGCAGCTGTTCAGGAAATTACAGATGTTTCTCCAGCTCAAAGTGACGGGCATCCAGGCATGAGATGAGGAGAGGTGTGGGAAGGAAGGTGGTGGGTGACCAGGTGTGCGCGCAGGGAGGGCATGTGAGAATCTGGGCCTCTTGGCAACTGATCTCAGTGGCTGCAGGGAGGACAGCCAAACTAGACCAGGGGTAGACGCAGAGCGACACAAAGCCCCCTTTCAACGCCCCTTACCCCCACCCCAAATCCTCCCTCAGGTGCTCCACCCTCTTTGAAGATGAACAAATCAGGACGACAACCCCACGGTTACTTCCACGGAGTGATTCTAACTTTGCAAACATTTCCTGAAACATCCTGGAATTAAAATGACTGAGGAGGAAATGAGGCCAATGGGCCTCAAGACCCCACCGTGAAACTGGGCACGTTGTGGCTTTTTATTCTTCCCATTTTTCACTCCACAATGACTTTCCCCAAGGACGCTGCTTCATCTCCAGGCCTAGTCTAGCTTGCCGCTGTGTGAGTGAAATTTTTAGAGCTGGAAGCATCCTGCCCAACACCCTCGGACAGAGAACCTGAGCCCCAGAAAAAAAATTAGGGTATTAATAGTCATTCATGTTCAAGATTTCTTCCTCCCAAGCCCTGCCTCTGTGGCTCCCCATGCTGCCTTCAAGGGCAGGTGGCTGCCAGTGGTGGAAGAATATTAGGGGCTGAAAATCAGCCATCTACCGGCTCAACCAAATGAGCTCCGAGATTTCCCTGCCTTGGTGTGCCCTGAAACATATAAAGCACACCTCACCCCACCCCAAGCTCCCAGAAGGCGCCATTATCACCCCCATGAAAAATAAGCAACAGTCAGTAAGTTCCATGGCTTTAGCAATGAATTTTGCCAATTTGGGCCAAAATGATTCAGTACGTCTCAAAGCTGACAATGTTTCTCTTTGCTAATACACGCTGACAGCGAAGGCCCGTTGCTGACAGCGAAGGCCCGTTGCATATGGAATCAAAGGGGAAATGTTCAAACACAGAACCTTGCAGCCCTGTGGCACATCCTCCCTGCATGTGGGCACTGTGCCGACTACTGATCTTAGCTGTTGAGTTCTGAGTCCTCTGGTGACAAGCTGGGACCAAGGGTAAGGACACAGAATCCCCCCATGCTCCGGTACAGCAGAGACGAGAAATCTTGGTGAGCAATCAGCATGCTGGCTTGGCTAAACTGTACGTTAAGTGACATTCAAACCTCTTAACTTCCCGTTCAAAGGACAAAGTTCCTTGGCACAAAATTTAAGCAAAGTCGAGAGTCCAGAATGAGCAGGGATCCACCAGGCCGTGGCCACCCACCTGTGACTCCACCTCCTCCTTGAGCTATGAGTATGTGTCCATCTGCTCTACGGAACATTCTCAAGAAGCAATCCATACTCCGGGTGGGCCTTTCTCCAGTCACCTCACCTCTCACTCCTGATATAATGTTTAGGGGGGCAGGACAGGCAAGCCTCTGACTGCTGCCTGCCTTGATAAGCATGCCCCCATACATAGCCACCAGGGAGAGGATCCCCTGCCAGAGGCCGACCGGCCGGTCTCCACCACGGCCAGAGCCGTCGAAGGCCACTTACGCTCACGGTGTCGGAGCGAGCGTACCTCATTGATGATGATCCTGCTGGCCATCCGCAGTCGGGTCCGCGGCCCAAACTTGTTGGTGATCATTACGCGCAAGCCCGCCTCGGGGAAGTTGAACTTGGGGGGGCTGGAGCTCATGACCTCGTCCACCATCACCACCGGATTTTTGCCATATTGCGGCTCCTCCTTCACTATATTGACACAGGGTCGTAGTTAGTGCGAAGGACCCCTGGGGTGACACCCTGTGCCGGGGTGACACCCTGTGCCAGGGTGACAGGCTGCCCCAGACTGCAGCCCACCAGCACTGGGGACCTGGCTTTAGCTCCCCCCCCTACCCCCGCTAGTCAAGGTCATCGGTTCTGAAATGCCTGCTGCCTTGGAGTGCGGCAGAGTCCTGAGCACCCCAGCGATGGGCCACTCATGGGCATACCCTCCCCACCCAGCCCCTCCGAAACTGATGCCACCCCCACTGTCTGGGGCCCAGTCTGGGCTAACTGTAAGGGTCGTTCAGTTCCTCCTCCAGCCCCACCTACAATACAGTCAGGCTCCCTGCCACCCCTCCCAGGACAGTGAGAGGACTTTTCTCTGCCCCTATTTACTGTGGCTCAGATGACACGTTAAAATTGGCAACAGCTGCAGCATGGAAAATGCCAGAATGCACCGGCGGACACTAGCTCTAAACTCCCCACGAGGCCAGCTGCTCTTTGAGCAACCATCTCCACCCTGCTCCGAGCTTTGTCCTCCATGAGGCAGGTCATGACGGCGAAGACAGACTCGCGGGCTTCGGCTTGGCAACGGAGGCCAGCTTGGTGCGACAATGCCTCCTGCACAAGGCCTGCTCTCTCCTGACCCTGTGTCCTCTCACGAGGCTGAAAATAAGTGTCCCCGGTGCCCGGATGGCTCTCTGCCTCCTTTACAACAAACATGCTCAGGGCTGGCAGTGGGGACTCGACATCCATCCCCCAGAGCCCTGGAGCGTCTGGCACAGAACCACTGGGCACAAGAGTGGCAGTCACAGCTGAGCGCCCTCAGGGGCTCCAGGGTGAAGGAGAGCTTCCCGGAGGGCACACCGCGCGGGAGTTAATGTCAGACACGATGCATGCACACACACACTCACACTGGCCACCCGGCAGCAAGGCTCAGCAGACAGGAGGTTGGGTTAGAGACAGCGCGGGGCAATGCATTGTCCGAGGCACACACTCACCTCGGACGAGGTGTGCACTGGGCTTGCGGATTCCTTTTTTTAATGCATGTGTGTTATTGCCTGGGTGGAAGCGGGTTACTTACAATTTAGAAGAGGAGGAGAGTTATGGAGAGAAAGGCCGACATAGATTGCCAGAGCTGATTAGCGTGCGGTGGGTGCTGGCCTGGCAGCAGTCTAGATGGCGGCCAAGATGCCAGGGGTTACTGGAGGTGTTAGTAGAGGGCTGCGGGGCTCTGGCCTTTGGGAAGGCCCCTCTTCCTGGCCGAGTCCCAGGGCTCTGTCCCACGCTGAGGGTCCCCCACTCCTCCGTCCGCACACACACCGAGCCCCTTCCTACGCTGGGAGGTGAGAACCAGCAGAGCTTCTGGAACAGCCCTGGGCGAGCAGCTGGGCTCCCTGTGGAGCGGCAGCTCTCTGAAGGCAGCATCTGTGCTGGGCCTCCAGTGGGAGGTCGAGGCCCAGGGCCTGGCCCAGAAGGCAGCTGGGAGGCGGCTCTTTTCCCAGAACCTCAGCCCAAGGCCAGGTATTCACACCCTCCCTGCACCTCTAAGCCAAAGCTGGGACTGGGCCAGGGCAGCTGGCAAAGGTCCCATGGTGAACCCAGCCAGGGGTCAAACGGACACAGGCCACCTGACACCCAGCAGGAGAGCAAGCGGGGCGGCTGCCTGCCTCAGGCCTGGGGACATTTTGGGGTGTCTTTGGTATAGGGTGCTCTGCTTTCTTGAACAGAACTGATATGTCATGTGAAAAATCTGTATAAGTTTTAGGGAAAAAACCAAACAACTCAACCTAGAACAAAGCTGAAGGATCCAGTCTCCCTTGCCCCCAAAAAAGAACATTCTGGGCTGAGCTGACTGTGTCCGCTAACCTACTTCAGCTCTCAACAGGCCAAGTGTCCTGCCCTGGCTGGGCTACACAGAGCCCCCTTTCACAGAAACACGGATCTTGGGCTTCCACGGCTGGCTAGACCATGACCTCCCTGGAGCCTGAGGACCGGCCGTGAAGAGAACACGGAGTCAGGTGTCCACAGGCCACCTCTCTGGGCCTCTCACCTCTCCAGTTCCTGGGGGTCTGGCTAGGACCCCAGACAGGGTCTTTGTCCCCTTTCTTCCAATTCATTTACCCCAATAAAAGTTGGAGGGAGGCCTATCTTTTCTCCTTTCCACATGCCCCACATCTAATTTTCTAGAAACTATCCTGGACTTAGAAATGTGCAGGGCAAGAAGGAACTTGTGGGGAGTCCTACTTCCTGAACAAAAGGGAGTGGGGGCAGTGCTGTGACCCTACCAGAGCGGCCCGCAGGGCAGCTGCTGCCGGAGAGCCAGGCCTCCCCGCCAAGTGGCAGAGCCCCGACTTACTGCACAGGAGACCCGGGAATAGGAATAGGAGCCCCGGTCACCACCCACGCCGTACGGACTCCCGGGTGGCACCTGAGGAAGTGGGTGTCTCTGCTGGGTGAATGGCCTCCCAACACACACTCTCCTCTCTGCCTGTCTAGAGGCCCCGAGGAGCATAATCCCCTGCAGGAGACCGGGCAGGAGTCAGCCTGGCGCTGAGAGCCCTGTGGGGACTGAGAGGGCTGAGGAGCCACTGTGTCTGCGGAGCCCAGATCCCAAAGAGCAGCCGCATGCTCCCTCCCTTCTGAGGAGGTTGTCCTGGAAACCCGGGAGTCAGGGTGGGGGTGGGGCTGCTGGGTGTTTCTGCAGCAGGACACAGGGCACAGCCCCTCCGCAGGCCCCCCTTTCCATTCCTCGTGGGCACGCCAGGGTGTGTCCACACCTACAGGGTGTGCCCGCAGGCCTCTTCCTGCCCCCCCCCCCGAGTGAGCACCCCTCACTCCAGCACCTGGGACAGGTGCCCGTCTCAGGGTTTGCCTGAGAAAGGACAGGACGTGTTTGTACAAGTGGCATGTGGGAGGAAGCCCCCACTCAAGGCTGAAGACTGAGCAGGGGCCAAGAGGACAGAGTTCAGCACCCGCGTGTCCCAGACACGCCAGCAGGCCCCTCTGAACGACATGGTCCCACCAGGCATTGAGCAATGGGATTAAAGTTGCCTGGGAAAGGACACGGCTTGCTCGGGGTGACCAGGAAGAGGGAGAAAAGACCCCAGGTGGCCAGTGCACGTCCTCAGCTGGCCAGGAAGCGTTATTAGCCCCTGAGGTGGCGCTGCAGCTGCTGGTCAGGAAGCTTGACTAGCACCTGAGGTAGGACCAGAGCTCTGTTTGTCCACATCCATTGTTCAGGCTCTGCTGCGGATCTCGGGTGGTAAACACGTGACTGCTCCCTTCCTGCCAGCTGCCCCCACAGAGGGCAGCACCTGGCAACTGGCCAGGTCATGGAGACTCGAGACCAAGGTTTCCAGCAGGCCTAGATGACTTAGGGAACACGACAAAAATGACACTTCTGGGTGTCAGAAATGGCTCTGGACACCCATCCAGAACCCCAGACAAGGGGCCACAGAGCAGCTGAGGACACTGGGGCTCCCAGGCAGGGCTCCAAGCAGGGCTCTCGGGGGCGGCCTGGGAATGCCTGCTGAGCGACTTGGCTGCCCCTCCCAGCCCAGCTGTCCCTCTGGACAACGAGCCAGAGGTCTCTCCAGAACAGAGTTGTCCAGAAGCGGACTGACATTTGCAAAGCCACGGGGAGGCACAGGCCTGCTTTGCGTCCTGCGTCCTCAGCCGCCAATCACTGGCCTCCTCCACACGGGTCGGGGACGCAGCTCACTGCATTTCAGAAAAGCCTGGCAGGCCTGGAGCCTTCCTCAGGAGCCCTGGGGGTCCCCAGGGACGGGCCTGAGCCTCTTCGGTCAGCCTCCTCCCAGATAAGCAAGGACCAATCTGGGCAGCAGCCCCAGGACACGATTTCCCTCCTCGTGTGAGGTCTGTGATCAGAGGGAGGAGGATGACAATTTAGGGGGAGAGTGTGAGTGTGTGTGTGTGTGTTAAGACGGGCAGTGCGTGGCGTCCAGGCCGCGGCTGGCCCCGCTCCTGTCTGCTCAGCCTTACCTTGCCCCAGCAATGGCACGGAAGGGTCGTCAGAGCCACTATCACAGTAATCATTACCGTCCTCCAGCTCACTGTTGACCGTGTTGCCGTTTGCAATGGTCTTTTGTTTGATTGTGAAAAAGGCCTGCATCTTCACATTGTACCTGGAAGTCAGTTCAAAGCAGGAAGTCAGACTGAGAGGTGGGGAGGGTACCACACCCATACCTGGTAGTGTCTGGGCGTCCGAGCTCCTGACAGGAACCTGAAAACCTGCAGCGGAGGGGCCTGCCGCTATTGAGACCTCAGCAGTTCCTAGGCACCGGGGGGCCTTCAGCCCAAGACGGGCCTGAAGCCCGCTCGCTGCCCCACATCACAAGCCCGTCCAAGAAGCGTCGCTTGGGCCAGCTTCGGGCACAGGCTCGAAGGGGCCTTCTCAGGCCTGTCCTCTTTCCACGGCCAAGAGTGGGGATGTGTGCGGGGAGGCTACCTGGTGGGCACCCCACCCCCACTGGGAAGAACTCGCCCCCAGGCTGGCTGCCTCTCCGCAAGGCCCTGTGAGGACAGCGGGCGAGGACAAGTCTCTTCTGTTTGACAGTTTATCACCCATTTTAATAAAACATTATAAATGCTTTATGGCAAAGGGGGAGTCTTTGTCTCATAAGAACCAGGGTTGAGGGCCCTCCCTGGTGGCGCAGAGGGTTAAAACACAGCACTGAGGCCCTCCCTGGTGGCGCAGCGGGTTAAAACGCAACACTGAGAAGCTAAAGCCACTTCCGCATGAGTTCCATCCCCGCCTGCCTCGGAGGTGACCACATGGCGTGGCAGACCTCTCCTGACCCGCCCGCTGCTCCCCTCAGCAGTGTCCTTCGTCGATCTGCCTGTTCTGCTCCCCACTCTGTCTCTGGTGAAGCCTCTCGCCGCCCCTGAGCCTCTGGCCTGTACCCCAGTTCTCTATGCACAAATAAATAAATCTTTAAAAAAAAAAAAAAAAAAAAAACCAGGGTTGCTTTGTCTGTGGAGGTATGAGGAGGGAGAAAGAACCTGAGTGCAGCTCAGCTCATGGGTTGTGTTGTCTTTTCCTTTTAATTGCAGACTATATATGACATATAATTTACTATCTTAGCCGTTTTCCATTTCCAAGGGTGCAGTCTGCACACTCTGCTTTCGTCTCGCTAAGCGGCATCACCATTGCTCTGTCCACAACAGTTTCAGAGCTGCTAGTCAGCCCATGGATGAGGAGTTCCCATGCCCTCCCCGGTGCCCGGGCAATCTCCCCTTGACTTTCCCGCTCTGTGGGCTCTCCTGGGTGCCCCAGTGGTAGAAATACGTCTGTGCCTGGCTCCTTTCCCACAGCCCCATAATCTCAAGCTCCAGCAGGTCAGCTCTGCCTGCTGTTGGTGGCTGAACACTGCACTTCCAGGGTGGCTGAGAGGTGACTCTGACCCTCGCAGCCTGTGTCAGCAGACCCAGAGGCTGCACCCACAGTACTCTGAGTGGGCCCCTGCAGCTGAGCAAGGCAGCCACCTCTGTGTGGCACTTTATGAAGTCTGGAGCAGAAGAAAAGCTGCCTGGCTTTATTATTATTTTTTTAATTGCCTTCCAACCTGTTAATTTATCTTTCATTCCACCTAAAACCATTAGCTAAAATGTTTTAGCTAAAATCATTAGCCAATTCCTGCGCTTTCCCTGCTAATTTTTTTCTTGCAATTTTATTTTATTTTTTTTACTTGTATATGTATTTTTTACATTTTTATTTTGTGCATTTTTCATCTCAGTTGTGATCCCTGTGGCCTTCCCACCGCCACTTCACCCGTGTGCCATTTGCGGCAACATGGGTGGAGCTGGAGAAGACCACGCTCAGTGAAACAACAACTATAAGCCAGAGACATTCCACAGGGGAGGAGAAAGGAACGGGATCAAAGCTGGGGTGGGGAGAACGCGGGACTGTGGAGATGCCTGGCTTTCTGAGGAGTGGCAGGGAATTACCGGGAGATTTACAGGGCCAGTGAAGCGGCTCCCCTGGCCATGGCACAGAGGCAGGGAGCAGGGGGGCGGGGGCCCAGCCTCCTCCACCCGCCAGCCATCCGGCAGAGCCCCCCTCGCCCGGGCCTTGGAAAGCACCCCAGAACGGCGTCTGGTCATCACTGCCTGATGCCGCCTGCCGCCAGCGGGCATCCAGCAGGGAACTGGGGCTGGCCAGACAGTGCTCGAGAGCAGGCTACCAGGACGTGAGAGACGCGGTCAGAGAGCCCGAGGGAGACAGACAGGGCACTTACTTCATGATCAGGATATAGAACACGTACAAGACGATGAGCACCAGGCCTTCCCACCTCAAAGAGAGAAAGGAGAGGCGTCAGAGGCAGGACGCCCAGGGCACTGCAGGCTGGGAGTGGCCAGTCAGGGGGCAGCATGCGGACCCCGACCTCCCCTGGCCCGCTCCCAGCGTCAGGCCCGGGACCCAAGTAAACAGGGGGAGCCCACGAGCCCACGACTGCCCTGTGAGTGAAGCCCTCTGGGAACAGACGGGGAGTGAGTCTGCAGGACTCAAGGGGAGCTTTCCCAGCCATCTAGAAAAAGGGGGACCAGCCCCCCCACATCCAGGGACTCACAGAGCTTTCCCAGCCATCTAGAAAAAGGGGGACCAGCCCCCCCC